AGGTCTATGTTTTGTATTTGAGTATATTTAGTAAATTAAACATTTTTTCAAGGGCATAGTCTCATGCATATAGCTTTTGGTCCAGTGCTTTTATTTTGTTAAGACAGCCGGAAGTGCTTGTTTGTGTGTGACTACGTCTGTATTGACGGTGGTGAATAGTGCAGGGGAGTGGAGAGAGACGCTGGGAGAGGACTCAAACACTCAAACACACTCACACACTCACTCACTCACATTCACACACACATACACACACACACACACACACTGGGAGGAAAAAGACGCACCGAAAGACGCACGAAGGTCAGAGGCTTTTTTTTAACTGATATTCTGCGCTTTTTTTCTCCTCTCTCTACAGGAGAAAGAAAAAGTTTCCAGAGAGAGAGCAAGAGGAGAGCAGTGTCGCTCCGTTTGAGCACGCATAGACAATCACGCGCGTCTTCTTTGGTCTTGGAAATAATTTTTGATTTCTTCCTTTTTTTAGATTTGTTTGGCTTTGCTGTCCTGGGGGATCCCTTCTGTGCGGGCTTTCCTTTTTATATATTTTTGCACAAATTCACACCCCAGGCTCTGTGTTGGTAAACAGTGAAGAAGAAGGAGAAAGAGCAGAAGAAGAAGAACTGGACCAGAGCGGACCAAAAGGGGCCAGACACTCACCAGGTAGGCACAATTAGTCCTAAATCCTGCATGTTACCTGCACATAGTGATGCTTTTATCCTTATGTCTGTCATAATTCTGCAAATTAGCACCAAACAACCCTTTAGTGCAGGAAAAGCTTTCAAGTATCATAAGATGTCTGTAAAACACTACTATAACGAGATATAACTGCATTACTGAACATTTGCTGTAAGTCTCTATTGGAAAATAAGAAATACATTAAAGGAGTTAATAATAGCCAAATGTGGTTTTAATCTCACACGTACTAAAGGAAATGATGAATATATGATAAGACATGAACAAAGCACAATTATATTTGTCATCAAAAACCGGAGTTTATTTCTACTGATTTGTCATTTGAACCGCTTGTGTGTCATTGTCAACTGGGATGTTATTTTTAGCCGCTCTAGAGACATTTTTAACACTCAGAAATGGTGTTAAATAATATGATAAAAATATGCGTTTAAAGATCAAGAGACACACATGTATAAACACATTTACCGCATTCCTAATGATGACTAAATCATCATCAATCATTGCTCCAGAGAAAAATTGGAAAATCTCTCATGAATCATAAAAAAAATCAACATATTTCTCACTTAAGATAACCCTCTGCTGCTTGGAATTTCACCTGGAAAACTACACATCTGTGTGTATCTGTGTGTGTGTGTGTGTGTGTGTGTGTGTGTGTGTGTGTGTGTGTGTGTGTGTGTGTGTGTGTGTGTGTGTATATATAATCTGTGTGTGTGTGTCATTGTGCCGGCACACGCCTCAGTTCTCCAGGTGAAAAGCCAAACTCGCTAAACTCGCTTTTGTGTAGCAGGACTTCAATTAGTGCCTACCATAACTCGCATCATACACACGGATACACACACACACACACACACACACACACACACACACACACACACACACACACACACACACACACACACACACACACACACACACACACACACACACAGGAGTAAGATACCAGTCTTGAGACGGCTGTTGACCTAATACCCTGACAATAAACATTTTTCAAAGATTTTTTTTCTCATAATCCATTTCTCTATTTGTTGAGCAGTGCGATGCAGGATTATTTTATTCTCCAGACAGACGTCCGCTTTTGACAGCTACACACACACACACACACACACACACACACACACACACACACACACACACACACACACAGGAGTTCACACTACAGCTAAATATAGGCATTCAATTCACACATTGGCGCTTTATTGTGGAAAGACCAGCAGAGAGAACCAGCAGACAACCTCTGTTTGCTGCAGTGTTGTTTTTCTCTTTGAATTTTTAGGAAATATTGAACTAAATCCCTCAAGACCAAACATCAAGTTGTACTTATACTTTTACTATCCATGATATGTGTAAGATATAAAGTTCCTTTTAGAAGAAAGCTTTTCCATGTGAATGCAATATAGGTATTTATTTTGATAGCTGAATTTAGGATCAAGTTCTCGATATACATTTAAATCTGCTTATATTTAATGTTTCTGCAGATATAACTTACATTTGACCAAATATGATTGATTCTTTACGTTATCTGGCCCTCAATTTCATCTTTTGTCTCTTAATTTGAGTTAAATAAGCTTTAATAAATGACCTTTTTGTCATAAATCATGAGATAAGATGCACATTTTCCAATTGTTTCAGCTTGAGTCGGTTTTCCCATCAATGCTGCGCGCAATGAACTTCCTTCCACTTGCATGACATTATTTTCCCACAGTGATTTAGGTCTTATCATTTTCTTATACAGCACTCACTGGTTTTTGTCAACCAGGTTATTACAGACATTAATTCAGCAGGTTGATCCACTTAATTGTATTCTACTTATGTGCCTCTAGCCCTCTACTGGGACACGTCTCCATGCTTTAATGTTCAAAAAGCTCTTTATTGTTCTCATACTGCCTGTGCTGCAGCACCTTTTCACCCTCTGTCTGAAACCAGAGCCCAGTCTGCTCTGATTGGTTAGCTGGCCGGGTCTGTTCAACCGCTTAGAGATGTCCCGCACCTTAGCCTATCACGTACAATGTGTTGGAGCGCAAGCCAATAGTTCACATGCACATAAACCTATAACACAGTGCAGGCAAGCCCCAAAAGGCAGAATAGGGTGTCTTCAAGCTGTAGAGCTAAAACGTGTCAGTGTACATTATTTAGAGTTGAACAACAGGCTAGAAAAACCTCATGGGAGGTGTTGTTTTGTGAACGCTAACAAAGGAATCATTGTTTACACTCTAAGTGATACTCATTTAGCTTCAATTATGGATCTTGGGAACACATTTCACTTTTTTTTTAGAAAGAAAGATGAGAGACTTAGATCCGTAAAACATGTCCGCTTTGTAAAGATTTTTGCCAAAAGCTTTATTAGCAACAGCAATGTGTGTTTGTAGATGAAATAAAAGTCTTCTTTTAGTCCTCTCAGTTGTCATTTTCTGGAGTAAAGGCCTGCCTGGCTCTCTGCGCCTATTCTGGGCGAGGCAGCCCTCCACCTACACATCCTGCAGGGGTGGAGAGAGGCATGTGGTCCTCGGACTGCCACTCCTCTGTTAGCTCGGCCTCCGCACAGCCTCACATGCACATAGGAAGAGTGGAAAACAAGCCTCCACTTCTTGCCTCTCCTCAAATTTAAGGTGGCAAGCGATAAGTCTTTGGCACAGAGTGTTTCTTTGCTTTGTTTGGGTGCAGCAGAGTGAATGACAGCGAGGATAAATACTCATCTGGCAGCAGAGAAAAAGTTTATTCACAGGGTGCTGCATATGTGGAGCGAAAACAGGAGATAAAAGATGTTTTCAAGCACAATATTGGCATAAAGTGCTGTGAAAAAATTCAAAATGAGCCGAGTAAAAAGCAGCTTTCTCGTCTTTAACCCCGTGCACCTGCAGAGAGTCGCTTTATCCCACACATTACATCTAAAAATGTAAAGCACTCTGTAAAGATCAAATGCAACCTTTACCTACACCTGCTGAGGCCTGATAAACTGCAACCAGGCACCTGCCAGGAAGATGCACAGTCCTAGTATAAATCATGTAACTCATGTAAATGTGGCTCTATGTCTGTGATGGAGGCGCAGGATCAGGTGAGAGAGGAGAACATGTGAGAGAGGAGAACATGTGAGAGAGGAGAACATGTTGTGAGAGAGGAGAACATGTTGTGAGAGAGGAGAACATGTGAGAGAGGAGAACATGTTGTGAGAGAGGAGAACATGTGAGAGAGGAGAACATGTGAGAGAGGAGAACATGTTGTGAGAGAGGAGAACATGTGAGAGAGGAGAACATGTGAGAGAGGAGAACATGTGAGAGAGGAGAACATGTGAGAGAGGAGAACATGTTGTGAGAGAGGAGAACATGTGAGAGAGGAGAACATGTTGTGAGAGAGGAGAACATGTTGTGAGAGAGGAGAACATGTGAGAGAGGAGAACATGTTGTGAGAGAGGAGAACATGTTGTGAGAGAGGAGAACATGTTGTGAGAGAGGAGAACATGTGAGAGAGAGGAGAACATGTGAGAGAGGAGAACATGTAAGAGAGAGGAGAACATGTGAGAGAGAGGAGAACATGTGAGAGAGGAGAACATGTGAGAGAGGAGAACATGTTGTGAGAGAGGAGAACATGTGAGAGAGGAGAACATGTTGTGAGAGAGGAGAACATGTGAGAGAGGAGAGAACATGTGAGAGAGGAGAACATGTGAGAGAGGAGAACATGTGAGAGAGGAGAACATGTGAGAGAGGAGAACATGTTGTGAGAGAGGAGAACATGTGAGAGAGAGGAGAACATGTGAGAGAGGAGAACATGTGAGAGAGGAGAACATGTGAGAGAGGAGAACATGTGAGAGAGGAGAACATGTGAGAGAGAGGAGAACATGTGAGAGAGGAGAACATGTGAGAGAGGAGAACATGTGAGAGAGGAGAACATGTGAGAGAGGAGAACATGTGAGAGAGGAGAGAACATGTGAGAGAGAGGAGAACATGTGAGAGAGGAGAACATGTGAGAGAGGAGAACATTTGAGAGAGGAGAACATGTTGTGAGAGAGGAGAACATGTGAGAGAGGAGAACATGTGAGAGAGGAGAACATGTGAGAGAGGAGAACATGTGAGAGAGAGGAGAACATGTGAGAGAGGAGAACATGTGAGAGAGGAGAACATGTGAGAGAGAGGAGAATGTGAGAGAGAGGAGAACATGTGAGAGAGGAGAACATGTGGGAACATGTTGGGACTTAAATTGTAAAAAATAAATTGTATAAAAATTGTTCATATTGTACAACAATAAATATGTATAACGTGTATTAAAAGAAGAAAATGATGATGAAATAACAATGTGCCCCCTTCCCCCCTTCAGGTATGGCGGCCGTGCTGCCGAGGACCCTGGGCGAGCTGCAGCTGTACCGCATCTTACAGCGGGCCAACCTGCTCTACTACTACGAGGCCTTCATCCAGCAGGGAGGCGACGACGTGCAGCAGCTGTGCGAGGCGGCGGAGGAGGAGTTCCTGGAGATCATGGCGCTGGTGGGCATGGCCAGCAAGCCGCTGCACGTGCGCCGCCTGCAGAAGGCGCTGCGGGACTGGGTCACCAACCCGGCCATCTTCAACCAGCCGCTCAGCTCGCTGCCCGTCTGCAGCATCCCCGTCTACAAGCTGCCCGAGGGCTCGCCCACTCTGCAGGACCGCGCCGCCAGCGTCAAGATGCCCAAAGCGGTCGCCGCCGCCTGCTCCGACCCCGGGAAGCTGGACGTGGCGCGGGACAAAGTGTCTGCCGGGTCCCCCCTGCAGGGCGGCAGCGAGGCCCGCTTCTGGTCGGGCCACAGCAACGACAGCGAGCACAGCCTGTCGCCCTCTGACCTCGGGTCGCCGTCCTCCCCCAGGGATGCCTTGGAGGCTCTGGACGCCGCCGCCGTGCAGTCCGTCCTGGAGTGTGTGGACAGGATGGCCCCGGGACTCCCCAAGGCAGACTTAGCCGAGGTGAAGGAGCAGCTGAAGAACAACAAGAAGATGGCTAAGATGATTGGACACATCTTCGAGTTGAGCGACGACGAGCCGCGCAGGGAGGAGGAGATTCGGAAATACAGCGCCATCTACGGGCGCTTCGACTCCAAGAGGAGGGATGGGAAACACCTGACGCTGCATGAGGTTAGACACTCAAATATGCTTTAAACAGAAGGATTTCTCCTGAGAGATCCTTGAGGTTTAACTGCTTGAATCGTCCACAGCTGACGGTGAACGAGGCGGCGGCGCAGCTCTGCATGCGGGACATGGCTCTGCTCACGCGCCGGGACGAGCTCTTCGGACTCGCACGGCAGATCTCCAGAGAGGTCACCTACAAATACACATACCGCACCAGCAAGTGAGCAACACTTACATTATGATACTGTGCTTAACTTCTTAAATAATGCAAGGTTAGATGTTAAAGAGCTGATTTGGCCAGAGTAAGATTTAGCTTCCTGCTTTTGGATAAACTTGCTTTAGTATGAAGTCCTAAAGTGTGTCCTGTTATCTGTGCAGGTCTCGCTGTGGAGACAGAGACGAGCCGTCCCCTAAAAGGATTAAAACAGAGGTAAGGTCAATGAAATGAAATACAAGTCTTTGTGTGTTAGATATGCAGGGTTGGTGTTACTGTCTCTGGAGGGAACGCAGGGATTTGAGCCTTTAGACCATTTACTTGCACACAAACCTATATAACACTACCGGAAAGGGAACACCCTAAAAGACACAACGTTATATGTGTGTGTATTTGTGCAGCTTTCCGAAACAAAGCCACCTTACAGCGCTCCTCTCCTGACACACTTGGCTCTGAGACTTTTCTTTAAACTCTGAATGGCTCCTCTTTCTCTTTGCGAAGCGCTGATTTAAAACATGTGGAGGCTGTGAACTCTGCAGGGACTCTAAACAAGACGAAGAGCCGACACCTGCTCACAGAAAAAATACTGCGAGCTCCCAAAAGAGGGACGCGTGCCAAAACTCTCAGATAATCTAAAAAGAAAACCACTTTATTGTTTTATCAAAGAATTCACTCATTTAGTTAGAACAAGTTAGAACAAGCTTTAAAAAAGAAAGCATGTGTCATTTGTGTTTAAATGTAGACATAAAGCTTGTCCTCACGTCATTTAAACTCACAGAAACTTCAATTTAGCAATCACCCTCAAATCTGACCTATAATCTGCTTCTCTCCTCTTCCTGTTAAATTCTGAAAAATAATAATGATCCGGTATTTCTTCTGTCTCTTCCTCGCCTTCAGGAGAACTTCTTTGACATCCAGGAGGCGCTGCAGGCGATCCACATGCGGCAGGAGATGCTGAGGGAGCAGCTGGCCTGCGCCAAGTCCAAAGGAGAGGAAACCGTCGGACGAAATCTGCAGGTAAGGACAAATAAACCCAACTGAGAAAACTGAAAATCTGACAACAATGAAACAATTTGATGCCACCTACCATTTGAAAAGGATTCCCAGCAACACATGGCGACAGATCTCCCTGTGAGCAGATGTTAGTGGCAGCAGGATCCAGTTTGATCCCAGTATTGTTTCCTCATTGGTTTTCCAGGGCCCCTGCTTCTGTGGCTTGTTCCTAATTAGAGAGTGTGGGAGGGGAACTCATTACCAAGACAACATGTTCATGTGACCTTCACTTCTTGATATGGGAAACATGCTGTATGTCTCCTGTTGGCACCTGCTGCTGCTACTCATGTTGATGTTAAAGGGATAGTGGAAATCCGCGAATTTTGGGTTTAACTTATGTATTTTAATTAAAAATAAGCATAATAAACAATTTTTTTAAATTTCATGCGCCTAGTTTCATTTTATTTTCAATTTTACTGCGCCCTCTCAATGAAACGAAATACTTCGGGAATCTTCGGGTGATGACGAGAGCATAGGAAGACGGGCACAAACAATGGCGGACATTCAATAGCATTTGCATGTGAATAGCCGAGTATATTGCCATAAATATGATGATTGATTATCAGTAAAAAATTCTACGTGACACAACGACATTGGATTAACCTTGAGATGCGTTTTTATTCCGTTGAACACAACTTTTGATCACAAATCAAAAAAGGTAAGACGTAATTATTGTACTATTTTTGGAACCGGATGTTGTTTACTTTCTCTTTTCTGGCTGATACCTCCAGGAATTCGAGGTCTTACAGTGATGACATTACATGTGTGGAATCTGTGGAGTCTCAGCTTTAAATCGTATATCTTGTTTGTGCAGTTAAGATAGTAATAAGGGCATTTCTACCGTGTGTTGTGTGTAAAAGCATTAGCATTAGTTAGCATTGTTTCGCTCAATGCTAATTCAAAGGCTTGGTATTACTCGTGTTTTTTCTAGCTAACAATTGTTCTTATTGTCAGTTAGCGGAGTTTCTTACCTTTAAAAGGGTATGAAACATTAATAGTTTCATAAATGTTAAGAAGCCCTGAGACATGTGAGAGAAAAAAAACTGTGGGGACCTTCGGGCTTAACTGGTTAACAATGATTAATATTTGTAAAGGCTACAGGTGATCTTAAGATGCGTGAGCTATGCTTAGGGACCTACCAGTCAAGATTATTTGTGCGTAGGGGTGCATCATCTGGCGCCTGGTCCTGGTCATCCTCGCCATTGCCCATGCCGTGAACCATCACCTCGGGCTCGGGCTCAATATTGTCACCATCGTCGCTTACTGAACCGGATTCAGATTCAGTTCCTAAAACGACATTTTCGTAGGAAAGCCGAGAGGATGTTTCTGACTCGCTATCATCACTGGATACCTGTACAATCCTTCTTCTTTGTCTGGTATATTTGCCCTTCCACGTTCATTCTGCATAGACGCCATGGTTTGTTATCGTATCGTCGAACATTTCGTTTCTAAAAAACTTCGGGGAAGCTGCAATAAAGTGCTTCTAACATGCGTAAGGCAATTATTATATATTTTTAATCAGGTGTGATTGTTTTGGTACGTAATTATGCTTGTATATAAGTTAAAACGAAACTATTTGAGGTTCCATTTCCACTATCCCTTTAAAGGGGCCCTTTCTTTTCCTGTATATAGGTGTAGGTTTTAGTGCATATAAATGGTCTCCAAAGGCTCCAAAGTGTTCCCTCCAGAGCGAGTTCCTCTCCCCCCCCTGGCCCGTATTGTGTTATTTCTTCTGCAGTAGTTTCTGACTTGCCAACAAGCTGAAATAGAATAAGAGAAGTTTAAAATAACTGCGTGAACCAGACACATAAACTTTAAATATGATGTGTGTTTCCTCCAGATGCAGCTGGAGCGTCTGCTGGCGCGGCAGATGGAGATCCTGCAGGACGCGGCAGTGCAGGAGCGTCTGCAGGCTCTGGACTGGAGGATCCCCCCCGCCGCCTTAAAGTACCTCAACGGCGCTCACAACACCAACGGAGCCGCCGCCGACGCCAGCAGAGACAACCAAGGTACGAGAGGGAAAACTCCTTTAAATCACGAGACATTTTAGTGCATCTAAAGACGGACAAATCATCGCACAGAAACAAATTGTAATGTCAGAAATGTCTGAAAGTCTTAATCATAAAGTCCCCCTTGTTTGTTATGGCCTACCGCTCCAATCAGGAGACCCCCCCCGCTGTGGGTGCCTGAATCATAAAGTGACTTCATGTTATTTTGATTTAAAGAGTGTGTCATGTCTGTAAAGCCACGGGATGTGTGTGTGGATTAAAAAACAACACCTATGGGTGCTGACTGTCACTCTCTATCTGAAACACAAGGAGAAGCGAGGCATCATTATTCAGGATGTGATTTTCCTGCAGGCCTCGTCTCATTTTCATCCCTCTCCTCCCTCACACACTCCCGACAGCTCATTATATTGCTGTTCCCACAAATCCCACAATGCACCTGTAATTATCACGCCCACGCCTGTTTACCTCCAGCCAGTTGCCTGAAGGGGGGCGTCTTTCTCTCTCTCCGACTCTGTCTCTCTCTCCTCCCCCTCTTCTTCTCGCTCCTTCCTCCTCCCCTGTCATTTGTCATTTCTTCTTCTTCTTTGTCCTCTGCGTGTCCTTACCTCCTTCGTTGTCCCCTGTTTTTCTTAAATGTCATCCCGTAATCTCTTGTATATTTGTCCCCCCCCCTGCCTGAAACGCTGCATTGGACTCCTTTGTTTACTTCCTTGACATAGTGACATTTCTATCAGCTAGCGCTCCAACATACATGATAGGCTAATGGACGTGACTTCTCTAAGAGGTTGACCAATAACAACAGCTAAGGATAAGACTCTAATCTAGGAAACAAGTGTGCATGAAAACACATAAAAATCTGTAAAATGCTGAAAATACGGATGTTCAGTGAAAAATCAATAAAAAACAACAAGCTTCGTCCCCACATGTGCTGTAAAACACAGCTGATGGAGAAGAAATAACCCTGCTTGTCTCGTGTGTTTCTGTCTCAGACGAACGACCAATCAACCTGCGCGTGGTCAGTCAGAACATGCAGGAAGGAGACCTCCCATTGGGCAAGCAGCTAGCCAATGAGCTGAAGCGCCATCACAACCACAACCACAGCAACGCAGACGACAGCAAAACACCAGCAACAGGTGAGTGACGCCAGGGAAAACACAACAGTAAACCCAACAGGCTTTTAGACTGATGAATAAATCAAAAATGCAATGTGAGTCATTCCTTTTTGTCTCCCTCTTCAGAAAACGGGACGTCGCAGCGAGCGTGCAGCAACGCGGAGAAGAAAACCATCAAGTCAGAGCCGGAAGACTCCACATAGTGCCTCCCGCCTCGCCCCCCCACCACCCCACTCACACCTGACAGTATGCAGTTATTACCCATCAATAGATACTAAGCAAGCACAGCCACAGTAGAGCCTTAACAACCAATGTTGCCTCATGAAAAGCATTTATTTTTCTTTATTTTGTAATTTTGTTTTGTTCAAAGAGAGTTTTGTCTGTTATTATACACGTAATTTAAGAGTGATCTGTGTGTATACCTCGGCCTGGTGTTTTTTTATATATTTGTTGCTTTCTTACAGGGGCTGAGTCTGACCACAAACGTAGATTCAGAGGTGAGATTAAAGCAGAAATGTTGTTCTGTTCAGCGTCTTGGGAAGACTTCATATGACTACCATGTAGCCAAAGTCGTAAAGCCTTCAAAATGAAGCTGCAGATGCTGCCAATATTCACTTGTATTCCTAAATATTTCAAGTATCTGGGGTTTTTTCCTCAGATGTTTGTTGCTAATAGTACTGTAGAGATGCAAGACTGAAATATCTTGATAACATTTGATAGACTGGCACAAATTGTTACTTCATTTTGTGATTTTCAATAGTTAGCATCCCAATTAACACTTCATTTTTTATGACTTTACGAGTCATTTCTATTTATTCTACAGATGTTGCAAGAAATATCCAAAGATTTAGCAGCATCTGAAATGATTTCCCTGAGTCACCCTCCGTCCTCTGAGCCCTCTTTCTCCCAAATCTAACTTATTCATTTGTATTTGTACTGTAGAAGTTACAAAGTACTGTATAGGGAGATTGAGTTCAGATTCAGCCCCTTTAGCAGGTTTGTCTTTTTGTCGTTCACTTCAAACGGGAGCAGGGGACAGGTGGGATTTTAATCCTCCCCCCCCCCCCCTCCTCCTCTTCTGTGTATATTTCTGGAAGGTAAGAGCAAGATGTATAGGAGCTGTTGTGGAGAAACAGCAGGGGACCTCTGCCATCCGCCTGGGTAGGATGGCATGCCGGAGGCCGAGCTAATTGCTTCATTTCACTTTGTAATTTACAAAATCACTGCTGTAGAAGGGAAACCACACATCTGCAAACAGATTATTTCAGAAATAGACATGCCTGCGGGTTTTAGAAACGATATTAGGTCGTAAAATTCAACTTGTGTGTCAAATATTAAGATTGCAGGTATGTGGTTTTTGCAATAACAGCAGAAAAAAAGCAAGTCAATTGCTGCCCGGGTCTGTAAATAGTAACAAATAGTGCTAGCCTAATCTCTCCACCAGTTCGTAACTTTGTTGTAGATTTTCGGTGTCAATACAAGTGTTTATGTATAAGCAAAATCAAGAAAAACTTTAAGTGTCCATTGAGGAAAAAATAGTGTCTGGTATATAAAAACACTTTACATGATGATGATGTTGGTTAGCCTTAGCTCTTAACAGTGTTTATCCACCTGTGATGGCCATCAGTGCTTATTTCAGAGTTTTTGCTGTTTAAAGGAAAACAAATGAGTGTTTCTATGTGTTCATCACGCCGTGTAAATACGTCTCTTCTCCTCTGACCCCCTGCAGATAGATTAGTCCCACTCTGGCAGACCAATGCAATATTTATGTGAGTAATAAGTCTATTATGTGGATCCATCTCTTTTTCATGTGCTCAGTAACTGTACGTCTGTCACAAATTACATGTGGCGGTGTTTAAAGACATCTTCATGGGGGTTGTTTTGTTCCAAGCAGCCACTATGACAAGGATTTTAAAGCTAAGCTAGCTGGTGGATTCTGGGGGAAATCGTATCAGCCTCGTTAGCGTGCGATGTCTCAGAGAATAGCCCTGCCGTGTCACTGATCCCCTCTTCACTGTTTATTGTAAAGTGATAGATTAGGCTTCACCTAGTTATGCACCTGTTTTTTAAACACTAATATATTTTATTTGTTATACAGCACATAAACATTAAACTTTATTTTTTTGAACTCTATTGTGAGGTGCTTTCTGTGATCTATAGAGGATGTAACAAAATGCCTTTCCTCCTTATTCTTCTTCTTCTCCTTTAAGTCGGACCAGCTTCCTTTAAAGGAGTTTCTCTGTCTCCTGTTTGTGTTGTTGTTGTTGTTCTTCTTCTTCTTGTGTTTTCTGCTGTTGCATTGAGATGAATCCCTGCGCAGCACCATTTGCATCAGCGTCACATCGACACATTGTGAAACTGGCTGATGACTCACTCTGACGCAGGTCCTTTTTTCACATACTTCCCATCATCCTCCCTCCTTCTCACTCACTCACTCACACACACACACACACACACACACACACACACACACACACATCCCCCCCTCTCCTCCTCCTCCAAGTCACTGATGATGATGTGTTGCCCTGGTAACGCCTGGATGTGGGCGGCTCCACGGGGGTGGGCGGTGGGACGCCAGCCGCTAAAGCAGTGTGGGAGGGATCTGCACCCTCGCTCTGAACAAGGAGCAGGAAGTTGATTTTTGTTTTGTTGAGAAGGTGTGGGAGTCGCTGAATTATCGCCTCTCTCCTCCCTGCAGCTTCGTCAGGGATCGCCTTGTTTGTTTCCCTCCTTTGTTCTGTTCACAAAGATTTCAAAATACAATGAGACGGAACGGAGAAATGTGTAATGGGACTCTTGAGATTTTAGGGGCCCAGACACGGAGCAGAAAGTATCTCAAATATATCTTTATATTATACAGAAACATTTACCAGCCGACCCTAAAACTAATCTAACCCTGAATAATCGCAAAACATCCCGCACACTTCCCCCCCCCCCCCCCCCCCCCCCCCCTGCCTGAAATTCCTCCATTGGACTCCTTGTTTACTTCCGGAACATAATGACATCACTACGGAACACTCATGCCCCAACACACGCAGATATGACGATCATTAACCAATGCATCTGTGCCTCTTTTAACACTATTATAAAATTAGGATAAAAGAAAAATAGTTACAATGTGAACTCTTGTAAAAAAACAACAACCTACAAGAATATTTAGTTGGAAATCCCCTTAAATTCTTGACCTTAATAGAAATGTGAGTTTCCGGCAGTGCATTTTTTTCCAAATTCATGTTCCAAGCAAAACATTATTTCTCAGCATGAATCCTTCTTGGAGCTCCGTGTGGGTGGAGTTGACAGAGATTCAGATAAAAGTTGGGAACCACAGAAAAGTAAACGTACAAAATACTTTCCAGTGAGTAATCTCTAATGTAGGTCAATATTTAATACGTGGTGTCAATGTCGACCCACCCACGCTGCAAAAAAAGTTCAAAAACAAACTGATCTGATTCAGAATTGATAGGACTATGACATTTTAAAGATTTCAGGTTAGAAGCTGTATTGGTAATGTGATTTGATGAAAGCTAGACTGTTTAAGAAATGCTTTCAAAGGAAAATGTGTGTTTAATTTATATATTTTAATGTAGCATATAATACACTTTTCTTCACATGGTTGAGAAAAAACAAAGCTACATGCATCTAACAGGAAAAGGGGAAGCTTTAATGTAACACTTCCTGTTATTTTAGGGGCCTGAGACTATTTTGGTAATCTATAATTGTTTCATCAATCTTTTCCAGTTGTTAATCTAAAAATATATCCAACCAGGAGATGGTGCTACAACTATTTTACTACAAATATGTGCAATACCAAAATAACTCACATGGTGTCAGACCAAGACCAGACATTTAAATAAACTAAAATGTATGATATTATTTGTGCTACTCGGTGGTTATTTATACTGACTTTAAATCACCTTATTTCACTAAAATATTTACATTTAGACAGCAGGATATTGAGGAAATCATCATAAGTCAATAATAAGGTTGCTGATTAAGGGGCACACACTGTACCATAAGCCACTTTTTAATAGATATATATACTGTTAAACAAGAACGTACAATAAAGATAAACATAAGATACTGCACACTTTATTTTCTAAAATCTTATGTTATTCAACTTTAAGGGATATTTTACTGCAATAGTCTATACATATTAGTGTATTTCTCGTAAGGTTTCCTCTCTAATCTAACATAGGATTGCTTTGGTTACTATGTCTTACTTTAACTGTTATAGATAAGAAGAATTGTATTTTATAGAAGTATTGTATACAGTTATAACATTATAAAAGTACGTTTTAAATGTATATATGTTCACAAATTGTTGGAGATAATTGAAATACAGTAGAAACAGTAAGGGAGACTTCTGATGATTGACAGCTCTCTTGCCAATCAGGTGCAGCTTTGTGTTTTAATGCTCCAATCAAAACGCCCGTTACGTGAACGGTAGGTTGGTTACTATTGTTGAGTCACAGGGAAAACCGTTACTCGGCCGTTAAAGCCGACACTATCGTTAGGAACTGCGCCTCCTGTCCTCCAGACATTTTCTATCGGTGTTACAGTAATTATATCCTCCAGATATTCTTCTCGACGGGATTGAAATGTTACATTTTCGGTCAACGGTAGTGCTCAAGGAGTTATTTCAAACCCAGCTGAAGCGTCCGTTGCCAGGTAGAGCCGGTGTTAAAGCGACACCTGCAGCCTGCTTCAGCACCGGCCGTCTGGATGGGAGACTGCCGGGCAGAGTGAGAGCGTTAGCCCCTCAGAGCTTTACCAGAAGGCACGCCGTGAGAAGCTTTTGCTCCAAGGGGGACAGCCACAATGAAGCCTCCAAGGACTCTTCGGCGGAGAAGTGAGTAACGTTAAAAACGAGCCGGTCTATGGACATATGTTAGCCACTAGCTCCACTATAGGCCAAGCGTAAAAGAAAAACAGGCAATTTAATGGAGCGATGGTAGCGTGTGGTGCAAACCCCCAGGAAGTGCCGGAAAGTGAAGCAGAATTGTATGAATGGTCGTAGTGGACAAACGTTGGTACTTCAGCTTCCGTTACGTCTTTGTGGCCCTAAAATAGTTACTCCCAATTGAAAGGCCCCGGATGATCCGGGTACTTTCTGACTCTAAAGTCGCTCCATTTTGGGCTTCATGCGCCTCGTAGGAATGAACGGTGACTCCGACGCTGTATCCAATACATCCATGGTGGTATGACACCTGGGGACAGTCCTTAAAGTTCATATTTTATTGAGTTAAGTCCATGTTAACATACCGAATATATGCCGAATTAAAGAGCGACTGCTAAAATGTTCTTATTAATAACATGTTTTAATTTCTGCCTTATATTTTACGTTTACAAAGCCCTTTTTTTAATTAGCAGTTATTTACATCATAGTTCGGCAAGCGCATCACGCAGAGGCTAGCTGTTAAATAGCTAGCCTAGATGCTGTTCTGCTGGAATAACAAACTAGCCGGCTTAGCTAAGGCTACAGTGCCAGCTTGCTGGACTTAAGGATAGTAATGGAGGGGATAGACAGCCAGAAAGGACCGGGGGCACCAGGCTCACCTACCCAGGCTCTCTGTACGCAATCACCAGTGAACAGCTCCCTGCGTACAGGGACGTGATGGCTATGGAGCACCAAGCAAGACACATTATCGGACACAGTTGCTAGATTGTATCATTAAAATATTATTCAAAACCATATGTTAATGTTATCGTGTGCGTGTAGGAGAAAGGCATACGAGTAAACGTGTACACGGTAGCAATGTCAAGTGGAAGCAGGTGGTGTGCAGCCATCCAGAAATCGTGACCAGAAGCTGCAGCTTTCATCTCACTGAGGCATTAACCTGCCACCAGCTTCTCATGCCTAGGATCATGACAACATAACTACAACAAATATGATAAATATATCATTGTAACTGCATGCACCATGCAGACAGACCAAGGCCCAACTTAATGTCTGATGAAGGTCAGTCATCATTGAAACCAGGAAGGCAACCCCCATTTATTTGTAATTATAGATGTATTGCTCATATGTAATTAAATCCATAATATCCCACACATGGCACTAAAGTCAGTTCTTATTTTGATCCCACTGCTATTACAGCATATAATCCTGGTTCTATTATATCATGCCTTCAATCTAGGGCCCTGCATTCAAAATGGTAGTTGTTACCGTGTTCCACAATATTATAATACAGTCTCCTAGTTTCTTGTACATACATGCATAATCAAGTAGCTAATATGCACCAGCTAATATTCTGCCAACAGACCATTCTGAATGAATTAGATGAGTATCACAGCGTTCAGTATCAGTGATTATTTGCAGTGTCGTGAGTCGAGCTGATAGGTGTTGGTTCAACAGGGAAATGAGTGATGGAGAAGATGAGAGTCCTCGTGGTGATAGCTGCACGTTAAAAGCTTGTAATGACCGAAAAGCACCATATCATCACTAACACTTCCACTCAACAGCCACTGACATCAAGACAAGGATCCACTTCGTAATAGTTTATACTATATGACTAAAATAAGCATTCAAATGGAATACAAAATCTGCAACAACATAGTGATAATTTGATCCTGTCCAAGTACTTAAAATATCTGTAGGCAAGACAAGAAAAGCTGCAAATCCTCACATTCAAACAGCTGTAACCAAATGATATATATGTGTTAGTGGTACTGTATATTATTATTAACAGCTGAGACGTGCCAGTTGTCTTTATGAGGTGTTTGTGTCTCTCAGATGTGTCACTTTTCCCCCATGTTGCTCTAAAAATGAAGTTATTCCTGCTTTTAGCATTCAAAGCAGCTGTGCCACCAGCCTGTGTCTACCCTTCAGACATTTTCCTTGGTGATAAAATGCCTCATTGCTCCTGCAGCCTGGATGTCCCATTTGTTTCCATTCACGGACCATTTGCTTAAGCTGTCAGTAAGGTTGTCGGCCACATCTCTTTCCCCCTGGAGGATCATAGCAGTTTCAGTGACGCTGTTAAACATCCACAGCACAGATTAGTGTTTGAGAGATCATGTGGATTTTTGTTGGTGATCAAGGGAACACAAATAAACTACTGTAATGTCAAATATATTTGATCTTGAGTCAAAAGATTATTACTTGTGCGTCGTTTTTCTTTTTCTTGTAGGAACTCTCAGGGGCTCTGTACTAATCTACTAATCAACTAATTAAAAAAAGTAGTCTACAGATAATCCAAGGTCCTTATATATAGAATAACTCTTTAAATATAATATCCAAGGCGTTGTGTTTGAGGTCTTCCAGACGGCCTGCAGCTCTGACTCCAGTCTGTGATTACGAGGGTCCTCCGGAGGCTCTGCTCTGGTTAATAATGGGTTAAAAATGTTTGTAATGCAGGGGGAGATTATCCCGCCTACGTCGCTTTTCCGCGCTTTTGTGCACCAAAGCCTGGATGCTGGCGTGCTGCCCGGCAGTTGTCGGGGCCTGCAGGAGCAGATGAGTCACGGATGGATTTGTGCAGCGCCGCCTCTCAACAACTCCCTCTTTAATGTCTGCCTCCACAGCAACTTATTATGACATCTGTGAGCGAGCACTCGGGTCAAACACACTCGGCACAAACTACAGACACAGGACTGACTGTGTGTCAAGTAGGCTGGTGGTGATATTTATTGAACTACATTAAAACTCCTAACTTCATTGGATAATAGGCACCGTGCCCAACGTCTCAAAATAACATCAGAACAATTGATCTGTCTGCAGGATTTCATGGTAATCATACACTAACAAATATTGATTCCCACCCCTGCATCTCTACATGTAACGACATTTCATGCAGACTAGTTCCTCGGTTGTGGAGACAATGTAGCATTTCAGAGCAGCAGCAATCTCATGCCTCCTTTCTGTATGAGCTGTACACACGCTGACATTGAAAAACACATGGCGCTAATGAGAGCGGCTGGATTAATGAGACATGCTGCAGGATCCAGATGTTCCAACCTCTGACCCCTGTGGGGGGGGGGGGGGGGGGGGTGATACTCCCTCACAGGCCTCATTAACAAGATTGTTACTTCAATACTGTTTCATGTGTGTTTAAAATGTACTATAGTTTGGATGTTTTGAAGTGTGTTTGTCGGACGTACTTTTTCCTAATCTGTGTATTACTGCAGTGGATTTAAAGAAACAGACAGAAGCTAAGCAATGCACATCTATCTACAGATCTACTGCAGTAATACATTACAAATATAAGTACAATACAACCCTACTTTACAACAACTAAGCTGACCCTTTAAACATGCCATGCCCAGTATGCAAAGTTCATATTCTGATTGATCTACTCATACTGTGCTTTAATGTGGTTTCCACTGTAACTAATTCAGTATTATTCCCTCTGTTCACTCTCTCCCTGTTGTTGATCTGCTTGCTTTGCATTTGTAAGTATGTTTCTATTTTTTATTTTAGTTTTTAGTTGTTGTTTTTTTCTGTTTCCCAGTAGATGTAGAGGTTTTCTGCGGAAAGCCGAATAACTGTGTTCACTTTGAAATGACCTCACTTCCTCCCAGCGGCTGCGCTTGTATTCCCTCCCCTCTACCTCACCTCCGTCCCTCACTCAAACACACACACACTCTCTCTGGTGTGTATTCCTTCCTCTCCAGCAGCCTTTATTAAAGAGGATGGAACTAGCTATGAAAGAGTTGCAGCGTCTTTAGGGACGCGACAACATGCATGAGAATAACTCAGTAAACATGCAGCGTTCCACACCCAGGTCGGAAAGACGGGAATTCAGATATCCTACTCTTCTCTGAACTTTAAAAAGTTGTAATCGTCCACAATTAATTACACCAAAAAAACACATTCAGGTGCAGAGTAATATAAATTCAAATGTTCTGCATCCATGTGTTTCCTCCCTGTAAATCTGGAGCGTGCATTGGCTGCAATTACAATTCTCACACTGGGAATTTCTGACTTTCTGAGTGGAATTGTTAATAACAGGGCATCTTGCTCCAGGTGTTAATCTGTATTATTCTGCAGCAGCAGGGCCAGGAAATGGTTTGACTCTCAGATTGTGTTGAAGTGGGTTTAAAACATATTCATTGAACTGATCCTGCTTTCTAGTTTGGTTTTGTTTCTGGTCTTTTTATGGCATTTGTTGACAAAAACGTAGAACAAGCTGCAATCAGCTGACTGATGATGACCAAATGTTTGTCCAATGCTGTTTTATCAGAATCCCTTTACCTTGGTACATCCTCTCCTAGCACACAGGCCAGTGTCCCATAATGCATTGCAGGTCAGGGTGCGCTTGGCCATCCAGAGCTTTGCACAAATCCGTTCTGGAGTGAAAATGAATCACAGCAGAGAGCCTGCTGTGAGCCTGCTGCCTCCTGACATGCTACTAACTTTCTCCCAGAGACGACTCGGTGTGGAAGTGCTGCTCAGAATACCAGCCAGACCATAATACTACAAGATGAAAAATGTACTGTTAAGATCATGTCATTTATTGATCTCCATCGGGATCAAAAGATATTAAAGCAGCAAATCAGAGGACTGCAGCAGCACAAAGAACTGAGATAACACGCATTTAGTGATTCAACAAATGTACCAGCTGTTCTGCACGCTGTGGTACAGAAACCTTAATATATCAGTATTATAAATGCATATCAGTGCCTGGCTTGTAAACATGTCAGGAAATGTTTTAAGACTGATGCCTTCAGAAGTTTGCCATAAATACAAAATGTTTCTTAAGCCAAGATAGCACTAGTATACAATTGTTCAGACTTTGTGATGTCATAGCTTGGGGCTTTATTTGAGTCTGCACTGTGATGTGAGGCTGGCGTCCGTTTCTCCTTCTGCTCCCATCACCCCGTCACCACAATTCACACATTATTATTGTTCTTGGCTGAATTACTGACACTGCGACCCTCACACACACACACACACACACACAGCTTAGATGAAGATGTCTGTAAGGCGGCGTCCTTCTCAGACGGTGTTATCTGTCCTTCTGTGCTGCTGCCCACTCTCCCTTTTTGAACACTTTCCTGGCTGGTATTCTGGCAAAATACACAATTAACCGTTTCCATTCCAGTGGCCTTATGGCAGCATATTAACCTGTGGAAAAGCACATGTGCACGTCTTTTCCACAGGTTATAATACTGAAGTAAGGCCATGTTTTCCAGCAGTATTACTCTCTGCTTCTCCTTGCAGTCAAAAAGCTTTTCTTCTCCTCCCTCTGCTGCAGTTCCCCCTCCATGTTTCCACCACATATCCCCCCGAGTTGTTTTTTCACTTTTCTGTTTGTATTTTCTTCTGTCCCGCAGGAGAAGGAAGGCGGGCATCCTGCCTAGTCTGGAGGACCTGCTCTTCTACACCATCGCAGAGGGCCAGGAGAAAATCCCAGCGCACAAATTCACCACAGTGAGTCCTCAGAGCGGGAATGATCACGTGGGATTTCTGTTTAAATATCAGCTCAGATGAACCATGAGGACTTACAGCACGTAGATACATGTGATTCCTCCTTGTCTCTGGTTGATTTATGAGCAGGTTAACTCCTCTTGTTAGCTCTTCAGGAGCCTCTCTTCACGGCTTGTAGACTTATTGATTTGGTGTCCGGGGTCTTAATCATGATGTCGTCCCCGCCCCCCCTCACATCTCCCTCTCTCTGCAGGCTCTTAAAGCCACAGGGCTACGCACAGGAGACCCCCGGCTGAAAGAGTGCATGGAGATGCTGAAACAGACCGTGAAGACGACCTCTGATGGAGCTCTCGACCGACACCTCTTCAAAAAGTAGGATTTGAAACTATTTTTTTAAATACAATGCTTTGCAATAAAGCCTTGGAAACTGCAGCCTGGTTTATTTGCACACAATTTCTTTGTATTTTCTACAAATGTAAATCCTAAAGAATTGAAAAACTGGTTAATAAAAGCATTTTACAAATGACATATTATAAGAATGCGTAGCTTTATTTGAGGTGACAAGTAGGAATGATGTTTCAGTAAATAAATAGATCAATTACAGGTGTTGGTGCAATGTTATAAAGGCTCACAAATCTAAAGTGAGTTAATGTCTCTCAGTTACATTCTGCTCGCTGTCCCACCTTTTTATTATTAGCATCAATGTTTCATCAGTCTATCACAAGGACTGTTGATGCTGGTCGGAGTCCTGCTCTCTCTCCTGCAGCAGAACAGGGTCACGGCATTAATTAGTCATCACTCCTCCGTTTGCACGTCACCAGCATCTTCAGGAGGTCCAGCTGCATTCAGAGCACGGCTGCTGGGGGCGAAACCTAGCACATGTTATTGATTTAGCTTTAATAAAGCATTGAAATATCTTCAAAATGTGCCATAACATTCCAGATAACGAGGCTGTGTAGGAAGCGACACGATTTAGAATTGTGATACGATTGTTCATTTGTAAAAGGCACAAATCCTCTAAACGTCTGGTAATAGCTTTCTGCTAAAGATCTTAGGACAGAGCTGATAGAAGAGAGTTCATTCGTTGTACAGTTGTGGCTGAATGATGCGAACAGCTTTCAGAATGGCCTTTACGAACCTTCATTAAAGGTCAAATCAATTATATTGTGCACGTGCTGTCAAATAATTACAAAACAGCAGCATGGCTCCTCTCTATGTTGGTATTATACGCAACGTTTACACATCTAGGTTCGTGTTTTTATACTTGAACAAGTAGCAGCAGATTTGTACAGTAAACAAAGGAAATAAAGGTTGAAGAATAAAATAAAATAACTGGGAGCGTGGCGGCTGATCCCAGAGGAACGGATGCAGGGTGACAGCTTGGGTGAGAGTCCGGACATATGAGAGTTCACAGGGAGCTGAGTCGCTGCTGCTGCTGCTGCTGCTGCTGCTGCTGCTGCTGCTGCTGCTGCTGGCCGGGGTCCATCACTCCGCTGCTTCCGGCTTATTTATAGAGCGCGGCCTCACAGGAAGCACGTGAGCGGTTGTTTTCTCTGCAGGATCCCATGCCACAGGGATTAGACAGAGTGTGATGCAGTGAGATAGCTCAGCCACAAATCTCTGTGCTACCAGAGAGTCACACACACCGTCCTGTCAGGAGGAGTCATGTGTTTACTGTCTGGTGCTTAGTAGCTCTGATAAAAAGGATCAGGACCAAATCTGAACAACATTTGGGAGAAAGATTAGTAGAGGAAGGACTGTACCGTATACATATGTGCATATTTTGGATATTTCTCAAAAGCAAACTCATTTAATCTAACTTTAGGGTGATCAAATGTGAAGACAGACATTTTGTGCATAATGAAATGGAACAAACATTTCGTACAGCTCTCCCCAAATTCAACTCCACTAATGACACGACCTGTAAATTCTGTCAGCTGTAGTGTGAAGATCTGTTCAGCTAGTAAGATCTTGGACACTGCGGAGTGTAAATCCAGTTTGATGATTAGCTTAAGCAGGGGCTTAACAATAAACCAACATCGCATTGTGAAATGTTCAGAAGAATAAGCCCCTGTTAAACTGTGTCCTGTGCTTCAGGTGCGTGCAGAGCAACATCGTGCTGCTCACTCAGGCCTTCAGGAAGAAGTTTGTCATCCCAGACTTCCAGTCCTTCTGCGCACACATAGACGAGCTCTACGATAAAGCCAAAAACATGCCAGGAGGACAGGTGAGGGGGGGCCACACACACTCATACACACACACATTGCTGTCGGTATCTCAAACTCCTAAAACTTCTGGCTGTGAACCCTGCAGGTGGCCGACTACATCCCCCAGCTGGCCCGCTTCAGCCCCGACCTGTGGGCCGTCTCCCTGTGCACCGTGGACGGACAGAGGTACCACTTGAGAATACATCCTTTTCACAAAACCTTAAGTGCACGAGTATGCATCTTTTGTGTGAACCTATGTCCTTGTGTGTGTGTCCCTCAGGCACACAGTGGGCGACACCAAGGTCCCTTTCTGCCTGCAGTCCTGCGTGAAGCCGCTGAAGTACGCCATCGCCGTGCACGACCACGGCACCGAGTACGTGCACCGCTTCATCGCCAAGGAGCCCAGCGGCCTGCGCTTCAACAAGCTCTTCCTGAACGAGGAAGGTGAGGATCACACACACACACACACACACACACACACACACACGCACACACACACACACACACACACTCACTTTCTCCGTACTCAGAGGGTAAGAGGATCCTTGGTTGCTATGTAACTGTAGTAAATTGTTTACTAAAGGTAGCAGCACAGCACAGAGTGGTCAGTGTGTCCAGCTGCTGAAAGTCTGGAGAGCCACAGAGAATAAAAACCTCTTTGTGTTTGAGATGTCCTGCAAAGTATAGCTGAAAGATATCTGAAACGTACTGAGGAGCTTAGTCGATGGAGTAAACAGGGTCTGTATAATGACTTCTATTTTCTGAGTCTCTTAAATTGTCTAAATCTTTTATATTTTAAATCAGCGTCTTTAATTAAATCATGCTATCAGTCATTTGTCTGCGTCTATATGCTCCTCTGAAGCTTTCATTTTTGCCTCATCCGGTGCCGCAGACATAATCTCAGCTCCAGACTTGGCTCAGATACGTCCCCAGCTGACTCAGAAAGCGACTCAGGTTCTGGTCCAGGCTCTCGTCATCTCACGCCTAGACTACTGCAACTCCCTCCTGGCTGGTCTACCTGCATGTGCCATCCGACCTCTGCAGCTCATCCAGAATGCAGCGGCTCGTCTGGTTTTCAACCTTCCTAAATTCTCCCACACCACTCCGCTCCTCCGCTCCCTTCACTGGCTTCCGGTAACTGCTAGAATCCACTTCAAGACACTGGTACTTGCTTACCGTGCTGCGAATGGATCTGGCCCTTCCTACATCCAGGACATGGTTAAACTGTACACCCCAGCGCGTGCACTACGCTCTGCATCAGCCAAACGACTTGCTGCGCCCTCGCTGCGAGGGGGACCCAAGTTCCCATCGGCGAAAACACGTGGGTTTGCTGTCCTGGCTCCAAGATGGTGGAATGAGCTCCCCATTGACATCAGGACAGCAGATAGCTTGCACATGTTCCGGCGCAAACTGAAAACTCATCTCTTTCGACTCCACTTCGAGCGTTAGATCTATTAACGAAGCACTTTTATACTAATAAAGGACTTGCTTACCTAAAGCCAGTTGAGTAGCACTTGAAATGTTTGGCTCTATGAAACCTGATGTACTTATATGATTCTGTTTTCTTCAAGGTTGTGTCTTCCTGGTCGAATGTACTTATTGTAAGTCGCTTTGGATAAAAGCGTCAGCTAAATGCAATGTAATGTAATGTAAGTAAAAAGAACTCCTTTCTGAAAGGAATCTTGTGTGAGAAAAGTTTCTGGTTTCCTCTCTTTGTTGAGATCTAACAGCAGATTATATTCCGGCTGTTTATCTTTGGATGGAAAAACAAAGCATTGTCCCGGCCTGTTGCTGTGGGTTTTACATTCGGTGAATGTGTGATTTTATGTGCAGCTATCTACCACGATCTTATTTGTATTTAATATCTATAATTAACGTGTTGATTCTTAATTCACATATTTTCCAAGTCCTCCCCTATCGCATATCAGTAAAAAGCAAATAATATCTTAACATTTCTGATCAGATTTGTGTCTTTGCTTCTATTAAACCTTCAGTTTCTCTCCTGCAGATAAACCACACAACCCCATGGTTAATGCTGGAGCCATTGTGTGTACCTCCCTCATTAAGGTAAGCTGCCTTCACACACCCCACCATTGCAAATGATTATTTTAGAAACTCACTGATCAGCTGCGGTAGTGGATTTTAATGCCATCATCCCGTTATATATTTCTACAACATAGATTACAGACTGTGAGGTGTTTTATTTCTATGTCAGGAGTCTCTAACTGCATTCAAATCCAAAAAGAAATCGTCTGAAATGAAATGATAATCGTGTGGAGAACGTGTTTCCGGCAGATTACTGTATACGGGGGAGATTAAGGTTCTAGATAATCACACTGAAAGGGGATTTGGTTGAAAGCAGCACCGCTCACATATCCTGCACACACACACACACACACACACACACACACACACACTCTCAAAGGAAACTGCTCTTCTGCTGTTTTCCTCACACACAGGGAGCTGTTAGCGCCACCTGCTGATTCAATTAAAACCTTTAAATGTTAACTCTCACTGACCTGAGGACAGCGAAGGTGTCCCTACAGACTGACGAGCAGTTTAATTATCATTAATATAGAGAGGCGAAGTCCCTCCCTTTCCGGGGGACCTCCATGGGACCTTATTTTGGAAAAAGTATGTAATGAAGTCAATGGAGAGAGAAAGATAAGTATAAAAATAAAAATATGTCGTAAAACTGTGAAGTAACACTTTTTTTTGTGAAACACTCAATGAACTACATCTCCCGTCTCGCACCACACACCAAGACGGCCGTCACGTTGAAACATTTCACTTCTTTCTCTCAGAATGAGGCGAAAAGTATTAAACGAGGTGAAAATCACTACAAGTCTGGGCGTGTTGAGAGCTGTGCATACACACAAGGGGAGTTAGTCGGTTCTGTGAGAGCCAGCATGCGGGACCGGGACTGTGGGATTTGTAGTCTTTCTAGTTGCGTATTTTTCATAGTCTTATATTTCAACAGTTTTACGACAAACTGACTTTTTTGACATGGAAATGATTTTTTAAATTGACAAACATCATATGTGTAATTCATGGCACAATTCAAACGGGATCGAAAGACCCCATTGACTTCAATGCATAACTTTTCCGAAATAAGGTCCCATGGGTCGGAAGTAGATGGGCGGGACTTCGCCTCTCTATAGAGATGTTGGAATATTAGATCATAATATACACACCGTCAGGAGAGCAGTATTTAATCAAGCTTCACAGTCTTCACATTCACAGAGTTAAGGAAAATAATGTAATGTTTTAAGGAAATCATAAAAATGACTTCTGTTTCTGACTTTTTTGCTTTTAAACACACCGTGGTGTGATTACAAGTCAAATCCAAACACCGTAAAAACCTTTCACAAGCTGCTATAATCATCCAGTCATATGTGTGCAGTCTCAGGTTGATTGTTGCTATCAAAACGATAATTAAAAAGCTTGTGTGCATGCCCCCCCCCCCCCCCCTATCTGAATCTACAGATAAACTCATGTGCAATGTACCTTTCGAGGCTCGTTGTGTGGTTTTATGTGTTGTTGCATATTTTACAGCAGTAGGATCTTTGGGAAATTATGAGCACTGCAACAGGTCAATGACGTTGGTAATTTTTCCCTTTTTAATTATTTGTATTTCCCCTCTTTGGTCTGGATTTGTGACAAGCTTTTAGCCTTCACATGGCTGTTTTATGAATGTTTAAATGCGGCTTTATTACTTTCCACCTGCATTACCAAACACTGTTTATACGTCTACATTATAAACAGTACAGCTGTGGCTTGAGTTCAAACAGCGGTTTAATATCATGCTCCATTTTGACTGTGGAGGAGGCGTCTTTGTTTACATTTGTATTTACTTACTCTGACTAATGAATGGCCATAATTCAGTCGCATCATTTTAGTTTGTATTTTATACAATGTAAAGCTCTTGGCTGATAAAACCTTGAGCACTACTGTAGTTTGTTGCATTAGAGTGGATTAACTTTTTAGTTTCACCTCCATCTCATCTCGTCTCCTCTAATCTTAATTCTCCCGATGGTTTCATTGATGATGATTTAAAAACACTAGTAGTTGTAGTTTAGTGCTAGTGTCATGACTCGGGTAACTGTTAGTTGCACTTTGATGTCCTTTTTTAACATGTTGTAATACCCTGATTCTGTTTGTGTTCCAGCAAGGGGCAAGCAACGCTGAGAAGTTTGATTATGTGAGTATGACTGAGGTTTTTGGGTTAAAAGACGTGCATTTTGGTCATCATTGTTAAATAGGATCAGAGGGGCACAGGTTCAAACCCCACTGCAGCCAGCATGTCGTTGTGTCCCTGAGACACTTCACCCCAAATGGCTCCTGTGGGGATTGCCCACAGTACTGAGTATGTGAGCGTCTAACAAGTGACATGTAAAAGTAACATGTGATAAAGGTGCTTTACGAAGGTTCAATAGTGGAGTATTCACTGTCTCTCCTCAGGTGATGAACTTCATGAACAAACTGGCAGGAAACGAGTACGTCGGCTTCAGCAACGCCACGTGAGTACAACTACATATTACTACAGACATATACTTCACTCTGCTGCACGTGGTATTGATTTCTCACAAATCCTCAAGGACACTGCTGTATCACCGAGGAGAGGTTTATATAACAAGCTGAGCCACGCTGTGTGAAGAACAAAGCTCTCCCTTTGTGTGTGTCCCAGATTCCAGTCGGAGCGAGAGTCTGGAGACAGAAACTTTGCCATCGGCTACTACCTGAAGGAGAAGAAGGTGAGGTCACAGAAGCCTCCCGCTGCAGCCCGACGCACATGTAGCGCCCATTTTGAGTACATTTAGTTTTAAAACTTCAGTTATTGTCGTGCATTTCATTGCAACTTCATTCCTAATGCTGTTTGCAATGCTAAGATGATTCCATTAACACTATTTTACATGTGTTGTCTATATGAATCTATGCTTCTTATATTATTAGGTATGTTGCTAATTTTTTTCAGGAGTGTGTGTTGACAGTGTTTCTGTTCCTTCAGTGTTTTCCAGAAGGCACAGACATGACATCCATCCTCGACTTCTACTTCCAGGTAAATGGAGTTGAGAAATATAAAGGAGTAAATAAAACATTTGTTAAAACCTGTAAACTGAAAACAATGCAATCCTGGGGGCCCATAGCTTGGAGAACTTTGACAGAAGCTTCCATTTGTTTTTACTGCAGCATATTCTAATCTTTTTGTCGACACGTGCTCCTCCTGTTAGCTGTGTTCCATCGAGGTGACTTGTGAGAGCGCCAGCGTCATGGCGGCCACTCTGGCCAACGGCGGCTTCTGTCCAATCACAGGCGAGCGTGTGCTGAGCCCCGAGGCGGTGCGGGACACTCTGAGTCTGATGCACTCCTGCGGCATGTACGACTTCTCGGGACAGTTCGCCTTCCACGTCAGTATCTCTCCTCCTCAATAACATGCTTTGAATGTTCTAACTATCACACTCTAACTTCTTCTTCTTGTGTTTCAGGTGGGTCTGCCGGCTAAGTCTGGAGTGGCCGGTGGGATTCTGCTGGTTGTTCCCAACGTGATGGGCATCATGTGCTGGTCTCCTCCGCTCGACAAGCTGGGCAACAGCGTCAGAGGCATCCAGTTCTGCACGGTAACCCGAAATCATTTGACTGTTGAGCATTTTGTAGCTTCGATAGTGGTGATAAGATGTTTCCTGGCTATTAAAAGGACACTATCTCTGAAATCATTGATCTGCTGAGTTTCCTCCTGAAGGTCAGACGATGTCACTGAGCTGAGGTTGAGACTTTATGTTTGTCTCTAATGTTGCTAAATGTCTTCTCTCAGGACCTGGTTTCCCTATTCAACTTCCACAACTACGATAACCTGAGACACTTTGCTAAGAAGCTGGACCCCCGCAGGGAGGGGGGAGACCAGAGGGTGAGTCCCAGCATCATCCTGACCCTGTGATATTATCATGATGACCTCCTCTGATTGTTCTATTGTTATTATAATTATAATTAGTCTAAAACGGCTGCAGTAAATACATGTACTCTCTGCGTCACTCCCTTGATGCTGCATGACCTTGTGTGTAGCATTTGATCGACAGCGCCACCTGGTGGAAAATACTGCCTACAGAAACCGACACATTTCTCAGATTTGAGTAATTGTTCTCGACTTGATACAGTAGCTGTTGTTTGATCCTTACATGTCACATCTAGAACATCATAATTCTCTCTCTGATAGTATTATATATGAATTACTTGGTAAATATCTGGCTGTAAAAGTTCTAAATGGCTCTTTTTGCTTTGACGTGCTTCTCGTTGTGTTTCAGGTGAAGTCAGTGATCAATCTGCTGTTTGCTGCGTACACCGGGGACGTCTCGGCTCTCAGAAGGTGACACAAATGTTCACATTTAAAATCCACACGAGCACTAATAGAAAAGATTCTGGAGTTTAATGTGTGTCGGGCATTTCTCCAGGTTTGCGCTGTCCTCCATGGACATGGAGCAGAGAGACTACGACTCCAGGACGGCGCTGCATGTGGCCGCCGCTGAAGGTACACAGAGGAGGAGATCACTGTCAGGGGGGGGGGTCAGTCACTCTGGCTACTGAGATGATAACACGTGTGTGTGTGTGTGTGTGTGTGTGTGTGTGTGTGTGTGTGTGTGTGTGTGTGTGTGTGTGTGTGTGTGTGTGTGTGTGTGTGTGGTGTGTGTGTGTGTGTGTGTGTGTGTGTGTGTGTGTGTGTGTGTGTGTGTGTGTGTGTGTGTGTGTGTGTGTGTGTGTGTGTGTGTGTGTGTGTGTGTGTGTTGTGTGTGTGTGTGTGTGTGTGTGTGTGGTGTGTGTGTGTGTGTGTGATGTGTGTGTGTGTGTGTGTGTGTGTGTGTGTGTGTGTGTGTGTGTGTGTGTGTGTGTGTGTTTCAGGGCATGGAGAGGTGGTTCGCTTCCTGCTGGAGGGGGTGTAAAGTCAACCCAGTTCCCAAGGACAGGTAAATAGCGTGTTTTTATGAACGGTTACGTGTCGTAGCGCTCCTCTAACTCTCCGCTGCCTCTGCAGGTGGGGGAACACCCCTCAGGACGAGGCGGTCCACTTCGGACACCACGACGTCGTCACCATCCTCCGAGACTACCACGCCAAGTACAGCCCTCTGGAGGTGGCCGAGGACAAAGAGAAGAGTGAGACCAACCTGGACGGGCTGCTCTGAGGGAGGAAGGGGGAGGCTGGGAGGAAACGTGTTAATCTGCATCAGAAGGTCAGAGAGCAAGAACCATAACTCGTAGAAAACAGGCTACTTAAGGTTCCCTTTACACGCAGGACACCCCTCCAGAAGAAAAGCTCCTCCTCATGCTACTTGATGTTGTTGGTTTTGTAATATATTATATATTGTATTTACTTTAAGTGAGGAATATATTGTTGTATTTCCCCTTCTGTATTCAGCTTTGTAGCTTTTTAAGGACCAGCCGCCGCATTGAATGCTGGGTAAATTCAGCTGCGGCTGGTAAGTCCCCGCACTCTTGTTATTTACTTTATATTATTATGGTTTTTATTCTGAAAAGCTTAAAAAAAACTGGAAGTATGGGGCATTTCGAACCCTGGTTTAAACCTTTCGTCACTTCATCATCATGGTGGAATGTATCTTCCCCAACTCTCAAGTGTGTGTGTACGTGTGTGTGATATTTATCTGTTTAAGATAAAATGTAGTGTGTATATTCCTGACATGAGTGTAAATACGTACAGGTGTATAGTAGTTGTGTAAGGAGTTATATTTCACTCAAACTCTGGACAGCGTTTTCTTTTCACCGTCTTCAACTGTCGTTGTATTCGTCACTGTTACTCTGTATGATTTGATATTTATTTTTTGTAAGGAAATATTGTACAGGCTGTCTGTGGAAAGAGTTGTACTTATTATAAATGACACTGCCAGCGCTGACAGCAGCTTGAATTACTGTAAACATCCCAGAGGTTTTATATGTTAACGCTTGCACTCAACAACGAACAACACACAGATTATTATAAATGTAACTGGAGATCATGAAGTTTACTAAGTATATGAAACTGAACTTGTGGAAGTTTAACATGCTGATCAAAACAATCACAATATGTGTATTTTTATGAATGCAGCCATAAAGAATAATATGGACTTTTTCTTTATTCAGTATTTACATTTTCTTTATTTTAATTTAAGTCTAAAGATCAAATCTAGTCCAAAAGAGACTTGAATTGAACTAGCAGGCTCCACAAAGCTCTATATGTATATTTTAAGGTTATCTAAAGAGTTTGATGTTCATCCAAGTCCAAGATAATGTCCTTGTTGAGTGCAGCTGTTGCTTTCCGTTACTGCTTTGTAATCCAGAGGTGTTTAAATGTGTTATCATTGCTATTCATCTGAACGTGTGATTGAGAGTGGAGGCTTTAATGCCTCTGGACTGTATCACAGGAAGTACGAGGCGTGTGTCGCGGTTCCTGCAGAATACTCAGGAAGGTCCAGATTAGAAACACAAAGAGAAGCAGCTTTATATCGCAGAAGGATTGTTTTTGTTTATTCTGTGATGCAGAAGGATCTGATGTAGTGAGAGGTCGTGCAGATGTTCCCAGACGTTGTTCTGTGTTTTTGTAGCGTGTCTGAAGTTTGGATGTTGATTCTGTGCGGACAAACTGAACCAGGCAATCAACATATATTATCTACACTCCAAATGTAGTGCATTTTAGGGATCAGTTCATTCAGTTGGATTAGAATTGTTATTTAAAGGTAAAAAATTAGTGAAAGAAGCACAAAATGCTATATTTTGAGACACTATAGGCAATACATATTTAATGATTGTACGATCAGTTGAGCAATATGTGTTGGATGTGGTCCCGGCCTGCAGCGACTGAAGTATTCTGAATGTAACGTGTTTGTGTTTCATGTATATTTATGCTGCTGAGTGTCGCAGACCGTTCAGATATTTATTCACAGATCAAACGTTTAATAAAGTTATTAAAATCAAAGCAGTTGTTGTGTTTTCAGTGTAGCTGCGGGGGTTCACAGTGTCATCACATTAGGTCAGAGCTGTGCAGTGCAATGGAAGTTCACTTCCTTCAAACTCAGGAGTCACACATTGATCATTTATTCATTTCACATCTAACCAGTACACATCATCAAACTCTGTTTCGACATGTTTCTACCTATCAAATGTCTCCTTTGCATGTGAAGAGTGTACAAGTAGATTCTTCTAGCAGGTTGCATCCCATCGTTGGCTACAGGCGACTCAATCTGAACATGTTTGGATTAATAGCTAGACATTTGAAATAGATTATGACTCCATTATTGTTTTAAGATATATGATTACCTTTCTACCAAACTGTAAGCCAGCGTCAATAAAAAAGCCATTTAAAACTTATTTTACTTGAAGACTACGTTTATTTTAAAACATTTTTCTGGTCAACTCCTAAATTATGAATTGCAAAGAGGCTTCTAGATTAGCTGAAACTCAAAAGCTGCTGAAATAATAAATGTAGCCAACAACAAACTGACAAATCACTTTCAATATCTGATAGTCAACAAGAGTTCAAAATGACGCAATTGAATCCAAACCGTGGTAACCAGGTAGTTTAGTTTGTCCTGTAACGGGAGCAAATCAGTTTCCCTAGGAACGTAATTGAGTGTACAGTTTGGTTATTCGAGAACATTATTTCGTAGGACAAAGACTTGCTGGACATTTATCCTCTAAAATAAAACAGAAGGTGGATTTTAATCTGTGGGTCAGACTTGTTTTGCAGCCAAACCACAGCAGTGACTAGTTTTCCCACAATGCCCTGCAGGTTGCTCGTTGCTAGGCTTATTCTTCTTCTATTGTATAATTTACTGTAGCCCCCCTTGCTCTTTATTCGTCCTCGTGCTCGTGCTCGAAGTAGTCGTGGCAACAGACGGTCACCATGGAGATGAAGGTCATGAACTCCTGGAAGTCACACTCGGAGTCTCCGTCAGCGTCCAGAGCCTCCATCAGGCTGTCCAGAGCCGCCTGGTCCTTCACATGCTGCAGGGGGGGGGGGGGCAGGTCAACTCAGGTCAACTCAGTGACATCACTATGTAACACTCGCATCTCTATTGGCTAGCGCTCCAACACATTGAACGTGATAGGCTAATGGGCGGGACATCTCAGCTTTATATGCATATTAATACTTTATCTGATTAAGGTCCTATTTTTTTAACCTAAAAAAAAACATCTTTAAAAAACATCTGAAGTGTTATATGGAAATGAAAAGTAGGTTAGTGCACACAACAACAAAGTTCCCTATTTTCCTTATTTCTTAATCCTTTAACTTTGAATAAAAAAAATTGCTAATTTTCTTCCTTCTTTCCTTAACATTGAATGCAAGTCTTTCACTTGTAGTGGAGTCACATTTTCAAACATAGTTTTTAGGAGTTAACTGCACAAAAAATGGCTAAAAACTAAACTACACAAATAACATTGCAAATATGTTGAATTACAAGCAAGTCAGTTCAAACTGAAGTTATATATTTGCTCTCACCGCCATGAGGTCCGGCAGCTCGTCGTGCAGCAGCTCCTTCAGCTCGCTCTTCTTCAGCTTGTGTTTGTCTCCCTCCCTCTCGGAGTACTTCTGAAACACAGCGATGATGGTCGACATCGAGGTCTCCAGGTCGGTCATTCTCACACGTCTTTTACCCTTTTCACTACAAAAAGCACACAAATAAATCAGTACTATTCTACATTTACTCAGAAAGTATTGCTTTGTTCCACCTAAGTGTGCAGAAAGAGTTAAATACCAGATTTATATAGTTGTAAAAATCTGTTTCATACTTTCTCCATCTAAATATTGACCTTACCTCAGTGGGAGTTCAGGTAGAAGTTATCGGGTCCTGAGGGTGGAGGACGATGATGCACAGCAGGCTTTATACTGCAGCAGGGTGTGTGTGTGTGTGTGTGTGTGTGTGTGTGTGTGTGTGTGTGTGTGTGTGTGTGTGTGTGTGTGTGTGTGTGTGTGTGTGTGTGTGTGTGTGTGTTGTGTGTGTGTGTGTGTGTGTGTGTGTTGTGTGTGTGTGTGTGTGTTGTGTGTGTGTGTGTGTGTGTGTGTGTGTGTGTGTGTGTGTGTGTGTGTGTGTGTGGTGTGTGTGTGTGTGGGGTGCTGAGGTCATGCTCACTGCTGACCAATCCTGTATCTGTTCCTCCCCTCACTCCACTGCAGCCCTGAAGCTAATGTTCATTAGTTGACATTTTGCATGACTCATTACTTTGTGACAATTTTTAAGCATATCTGGAATAAAATACTGCAAAAACTGACTTAAACTAAGCGGTATTAACAAAAATCATGATAAAAATATCATTATTTCCACAAGAAGAGGATGTTCTCAGTTCAGTTTTGTCTGTTTGTAAAAAAATAAAATAACAATTTGACATTGTTGCAATGCCATTTAATTGAGTTCAGAAGTGTCCCACAGTTCACAGGTCATAACCCCCCCCAAAAAGCTAAAAATGACACTCAAATAAACAACTAAATGTATTAAAAAAGACAAAGAAATTACAAAAAAAACTACTAAAAAAAACTAAATATTATAATATATTTGACAAATATTTAAACTCTGGCGAAAATAAAGCAAATTGCCAAGCACTTCCTGCACAAATATATATCCAAACATCCCATAATTAATCATTATTTGCATCTGTGTGTGTGAGTTTTCCTCTGATCAGGATCTGCCTGCGATGTGTTCAGGGGCTGCGGGACAAAGGGCCGTTTCAGAGGAAGCGGATGGCCGTGCATATTAATGAAGACGCTCCTTTCTCTGTGGAGTTGGCCAGACGTGTGCCCTCCGCTGTCAAACACACACACACACACACACACACACACACACACACACACACACACACACACACACACACACAATCACTACAGGAGACGTTAAGGTGGCCAAATTTATACTCTCAAAATGCTGTAAACAATTTAGGGAAAAACAGACGAATTTCGATTTCTACTGCATTCTTACAAAGTCTATCACTGCATAATATATCTTAAAGAATATTTTTGAGATATCATAGCTGCAGAATAAAGCTAAATTGTGACAGAGTGAGTAAATCCTGTGAGTATGAATATTCTACACAATCTGCTGATTTCCTTCCCTGATCCGCACGACCTTTGACCTCTCCTCCTCTGTGTGTGTTTCAGGAAGAACAGTTTTGTGTATCAGATGATAAACTGAGTCTTTGTCTCGCGGATAAATTCCCTCCTCACGCGGACAAACACAAGCTGTCTCTTTGTTTCTGCAGACACTGAAACTCTGTGAGCAGAAACAACCAAAGATCCTGAACACATCTGTCATCTCTCTTCCTCCGTCTGTCAGTCTGAAGGTTTGTTTGGTCTGCTGAATATCCCTCAGAGTGAGACCTCATTGTGCTCGTGTGTAAGAGTCATAGACTGTATAGGTAAGAGTCCAAAAAAAGATCTTTAATTTTGACTTTTAAAGCAGAATTTGTTTTCATTTTTTGTCATTTCAGTGCATTATCTATCATATTTGAAATAAGACACTAAACTTATTTATTTTTAGATGTTGTCATGTTTTATCTTATTTGTATTATGATATTATTATTTTTTTATATTGGATGTATTGTATCTATATATTTTATTTCGTTTTACTTGGATATACTTTTAAAAATATTTTGTATTAGTTTAATTTTGTTTAATTGTAAAACTGTTTTTGTTTTTATTATTTAACAAAAGTGGATGTACTGTGCTGATTGTCATGTTTAAGGTCATGACGTCACCTTTCAGGTAAACTAAATATGTCGATGTGCAGATAATAAGTACACGAACATATGTGTGTTTGTGTGGCAGGCTCGTCAGTCCCCTCCTGCTCCCTGGCTAAATGATGCACTGCGTGCTAATAGAACCGTCCTTAGGGCAGCAGAGCGGAAATGGTGGAAATCCAAACACCATGACGACCTCCTAACCTATCAAGCTCTCCTCTCCTCTTTCTCTGCTTCGATCTCTCAGGCAAAAAGCACTTTCTTTCAAGATAAGATCCAATCTTCCTATTCCAATCCTAAAAAACTATTTTCCATCTTCTCCACCCTCTTGGACCCCCCCAAAGCCCCTCCCCCCTCCTCACTTCTGTCAAGCGACTTTGTTACCCACTTTGAAAAAAAGGTTGATGATATTCGCTCTTCTTTTTCTGACTCACCTTTACTCACCTCTGGGTCACCAGACCTTCCTTCCACCAACACACTAACCTCCTTTTCCCCTCTCTCTCCAAGTGAGGTTCTTACCCTCATTACCTCTGCCCGCCCTACCACCTGTCCTCTGGACCCTATCCCTTCAAACCTCCTTCAGACTATCGCTCCTGATATTCTACCGTTTCTCACCCATTTCATCAACACTTCTCTAACTTCTGGTCACTTTCCAAACAGTCTCAAGGAGGCAAGAGTAAACCCTCTCCTAAAGAAACCCACTCTCAACCCGTCTGATGTTATAAACTACAGGCCTGTCTCTCTCCTCCCGTTCCTGTCTAAATCACTTGAACGCGCTGTCTTTAAACAACTCTCCTGTTATCTCCATCAGAACAACCTTCTGGATCCGCACCAGTCTGGTTTCAAGGCAGGTCACTCCACAGAAACTGCTCTCATTGCTGTCACGGAGGAACTGCACACTGCCAAAACTGCATCCCTCTCCTCTGTCATCATCCTGTTGGACCTGTCTGCTGCATTCGACACGGTGAATCATCAGATCCTCCTTCGCACTCACACTGCACTTTCCCTCCTCACCTCATACCTCAAAGACCGTACCTACAGGGTAACTTGGAGAGGGTCCGAGTCCGACCCTTGTCAATTAACTACGGGGGTCCCTCAGGGCTCTGTTCTTGGTCCCCTCCTCTTCTCCCTGTACACAAACTCGCTCGGATCAGTCATTAGCCCGCATGGTTTTTCATACCACTGCTACGCTGATGACACCCAATTAATTCTGTCCGTTCCCCGCTCAGAGACCCAGGTCGTTGCACG